AAAAAGAAAAAGAAAAAAAAAGATATGCGACAAAAGGACAGTTCTTGTTGACTGTCCTGGATTATGGTCCCATTAGCGGTCGGATAGGAGTTTGGCCGATCCAGTGTGACACTGGGTCTCGCTCCACTACTATCTGCTGTACGAAATTTCGTATAGCGGTCGTATAGCTGTCAGAGAAAAAAAAAACGTATAAAACCCGTCGTCGCTCCACTTACTACCCGCTATACGGCACATCGATTCTTCTCGAAAATCTCGAAATTGGTTTCGTACAGCAGATAGTAGTGGAGCGATGCAGGCACTATCCGAAGCGGGTGAGGCCTGTCCCGCGGACGTCCCACGGAGGTCCCACAAACTTTCGGCGGGAGAGTGTACTTGTCGTCGAAAGAGGGAACAAAAACTGCAAAACTATGCGGGCCTCTCGTTTTTCGAAATCGCACGGTTGTGGTGGAATGCGGAACGGTGCTGGCGCGACATCCTGGTGGGTGGGTGGGGGCGGGCGTGGGGACGAGGCCGGTGGGGGGGGGGGGGGGGGGGGGGAAGAGAGGCCGCGCGGAATGGCTTGGGCCGTGCTGAAATGAGCCCCCCCCTTCCCCCCTTTTTACCGTATTGCTGTCCGGGTTCACGTTGAAGGACTTTCCACTGCCCCGCTTCCAGGAGATGTACCCAACGACAGACCTGCCCGGGTTCACGTCGAAGGAATCTCCGCTGCCAGTAAGTTGTCCGCTGTCTGCCCCGCTTTCTCGATCCATCTCACCCACCATCAGGTGCGGTGGCCGGCGCCCGCCATAGCTGCTCTTCTCGGCGAGGCGGGGCTTCTCCACTTTCAAACCTTGGCTACTGAGCAGCGTGCCCGCTCTTGGAGCAGCATCTACTCAGGGGGGGGGAAAGGCATGCTGGAGGTGGAATGAACTGCGCCGTTGGGATGCATGTAACGCCGTTTTCCGGCTTGGTACAGTTTCATTTTATTTTTTTGGTTCGTCGATCCGTTCTTCCAGGCCCCCTACACTGGAACGCATGTAATACCGTTTTCCGGCTTGGTGCAGACCTTTTCCTTTCTACAATTTTTTTTTTTTTTTTTGGTTCATGGATCCGTTCTTCTAGGCGCCCTCCACTGGAATGCATCTACCGCCGTTTTCTGGCTTGGTGCAGACCTTTAATTTCTCCCTGGATCCATTCTTCCGCGCAGTAGGGCGCCGAAGGGGAGGGGGGCGGGGGGCGGAGGCTAACGGGGGAGGGCGGGCCGCTTTGGCTGTGGTCATCCTTGTGCAGGGATGGTACCGCGTACCAGGAGAATGGG